GCCTCATTTTCAAAATGTAGCCTACAAAAGATTTTTAAACTACTAACTATGCAGGTTGTACAATATCTCTTCTTTTTTAATGTGAAAAATAGTCACTTTATGTTGGTTTTTATCCTCATAAGGTGCATGGGATATGTGATTTAAGGCCTACAAAAGATCATTGAATGTCTATGCAATTTGTAGATGATTCCTTCTATTTAATGTGAAAGTTGTGCACTTCAGTCTGTTTTGTGTCCTCAAAAGCTGAATGACATGTGTATTTTTACAAGTGAGGCCTACAAGAGATTGGTGAAATACTGTCTATGGAGGTAATACAATATTCTTCTTTCTTGCTTAATGTTAAAAATATACACTTCGTTATGGTTTTTGTCCTCAATATCTGAATGAGGTACATGATTTAAAAAAATGAGGCCTACAGAGATTGTTAAATTCTGCTTCTGCAGGTTGATCAATATTTCTTCTATTTTAATTTGCAAAATATACACTTTATATTTTTTTTGTCATTAAAAGATACAAAAAGCATGTGATTTAGAAAATGAGGTCTACAAGAGATTGTTGAAATGCTGCCTATGCAGGCTATACAATATTCCTTTTATTTTAAAGCGGTATTAAACTCAAAATCAAAATAACAAACATGTCATACTTACCTGCTCTGTGCAGTGGTTTTGCACAGAGCAGCCCCGATCAGGTAAGTATTAAGGTGTGTGGGGTGGGGCTACTGTCCACAGAAGGTTTTTTTCTTCATGCATTCTATGCATACTGCTTTCATGTGGAAGAATGTACATTTTATAGTTTTTTTTTGTCCTTAAAAGCAGCATGAGGGCAGATTGGTGAATTGACCAGATCTTGCTATTTAGTTCACCTATTCTTCGAAACTTCAAACTGGCTGGGATCAGGTCAAACTCATGGTCAACCCAAACCTGAAGCTCATACCTAGAATGTAGTTTAGCAAATAAGTTCTAGAAGAGATTGTAGAAATACTGTCTAGGCAGTCTGTACAATATTCCTTCATTTTAACAGAAAAAAAAATCCACTTTATCGTGGATATTGGGCCTAAACAGCTGCATGTTGTGTCAATTTTAAAATGAGGCCAATGCAGTGCTGTCTATGTAGTATATTTAATATTTCCAGCCATTGTCTCTGAAATAATATACTCTAGTGCAAAATCAGGTGCAATTGTGGATGGTAGCCATTCAGCTTCTAATTTCAGCTTGTTCAATTAAGCTTTGGCATAAAAACTGGAAGCTGACTGGTTTCTATGCAGAGTTGCACCAGGTTTTAGACTCTCCAGCTTTAGTAAATCAACCGCTATGTGACAGTGCAGGAGCACAGCTGGAAATCAGGGACAGAGTATTGTCATCCTGTAACATAAAATGAATGAGCAAAGATATTCATGGCAAGACCACCAGATATTATATTCATGAAAGCTGCAGATTTTTAAAGGATTGAAATCTATATTTGAAATTATATTAACATGTTAAAGTTTATATGAGATTTTAGTGATTGGATTAGGTCTATTTTATTGGCAATACTTGTAAATCTAGTGGTTATAGAAGCTTGTAACCCCTATAAAGTTAAAATATTTACCAGACAGACATTTTATTTATTCAAATGTTTTAATCAAGGAAGGATTTTTGTATAATACATAAAAGGTCATAATCCACTTTACTCAGTTTTAAGAGTCTAGTACAATTTTATTTCACCGATTAAAGGGGAATGTTATCTTTCCCAATTAAACAAATGTAGTCATCTTATTTCTCACCAGTTTCCATTTGTTTATCTGATCATTTTTGGCATTTGCTTGCTTCCCTTAAGGAAAGGAAATGTATTTCTCTTACAGTGATGATTAAGTAGTAGTTTAATAATAATACTAAGTGATTTTCCAGCAATGTTTAAAAAGTCTGTCAGTGACACATTTTAATGGAAGTTAGGTTTCAAGATTCATTATATAAATGATGACTGTGGAAACCTGCAATAGAAAGAAAAACAGTTTAAATTAAAGAGTTCCCTCTGCCATTATTTTTATTATATGGAGTATTTTTTATGCTTTGTTCCATAGTGAAGACTTTAAGATAATATCGGGTTGACATGCCAATGCCATTATACTGCTAGATATTGGAAGTATAGTGCTAGAAACAGCTGTTAACCAGTTCTAGTCCTATCCAATTCTGACATTACTCTCATATGCAAAAAAATAGCGTTTTTGTACTAGAAATGTATTTAGAACCCCTGAAAATTACCGTATACATTTTCAAGCAGAGACCCTGGAGAATAAAATGATTGTTACAATATTTTATGTGGCACAATATTTGTGCAGTAGTATATAAAATGCAATTTTTCAGGAGAAAGTTCACTTTAACCACTTGTCCTCCAGAAGATTGACCCCCCCCCCCCCCCCCCCCCCTCCTGACCAAGCCATTTATTGCTATACGGCGTTGCCCTATTATAACTGACAATTGTGCGGTCATACAACACTGTACACAAGTGAAATTTATATAATTTTTTTTACACAAACAGAGCATTCTTTTGATGGTATTTGATCACCACTGTGTTTTTATTTTTTGCTCTACAAACAAAAAAAGAACAAAAATTTTGAAAAAAAAAAAATATTTAAAATTTTTTTTATATAAAACATATCAAATAAAAAATAAAAAGTATTCATAAATTTAGGACAAAATGTATTCTGCTACATGTCTTTGGTAAAAAAATGCCAATAAGTGTAAATTAATTGGTTTGATTGCAAATGATAGTGTCTTCAAACAATGGTATAGATACTGGATTTTTTTTTTCATACTAGTAATGGTGGGAATCAGCGACTTGCAGGACTATGATAGTGACTAGGTGGGAACTAGCTGCCACTGACATCTACAATGACACTATTACAGTGATCAGTGCTAATAAACAGCACTGTCAGTGTACTAATGACACTGTGAAAGAAAGGATTAACATCTTGAATGATCAAAGGGTTAATTGTGTGCTGTTTTACTAGGGGTGCTGTGTACTGTGCTGTTTTACTAGGGGACGTGCTGGTTTTAATTCCCTGCTTTACCGGGAGATAGAAACCAGCACATCCCCACTGACAAGAGAGATCTGGTTTACATACACAAAGCTCTTTCCTGTCACTCACTCCACCGATTGCCGGCCATAAATCTCTGGGCAGGACTTAGTGATTGGCATGCAAGGGAGCCAATGACAGCGCGATCAGGTGGGCAGGCGTGCCTGCACCCCCTACCCAGAAAAGATGAATCATGGATGTATATGTGATTCTGTGCAGCTGGCCCGCACTGTAGCAGTAAAGCTACAGTGCAGTTGGGAAGTAGTTAATTAGTTTTAGTGAACTCAGACACAATATAATACCCATTTTTGGGGGTAAAACATAAAAAAATTATGTTAGGCCAAGTAACTAGATACTTAACATGTCATGCTTTAAAATTGCAAATGCCCGTAGAACAGCACCAAACTACTGAACTTAAACATTATTTTTTTAAAGATGATGTTTACCTAAAAGAGAATGGCCGACTGCAAAGATGGATACCAGGATTATGACTGTTGCTGTAGTCATGATCCTGGTATAACTACTTCAATACAAGGCTGTTTATAAAAAGCGTACAGATGAGAAGTGGTTAAAGGATAAGTTGACCTTTCGTAACATATATTCAGGGTGTAAAATAACATGTTACTATCAGATCGCCGCCCCCCCCCGCACCTCCCCAATTTCAGCTAGCAGGGGATCTTCTCCTCCCCGGTAGTTGTCACAATTTAAAGAAAACGCAGCCTTGCTCTGCTCGCTCAGCTGCATCTCTTATTCACAGTATTCAGTGAATGGGAAAACTACAAGTTCCAACAGCCTTTGTGGCTGTCGTCTTGTAGTTTTCAATGAACTACCACAGTGCTCCACATCACCGTGGTAGTTCATTGAGCCTTCCTATCAGTAAGTACCTGCTTGCCTGTACGGGATGTATGAGCAAGCTGTCAGGGCTCCGGGTATGACCAGAGGTGTGTGGACTGAAACAGGGAAACGCAGGCTTCAGATATAGTATAAACAATATAATTTATTTAAGACTAAACAATACATAAACGCAGTGCAAGACTAAACATAAACACAGTGCAAACAAACCAAACCAAAACCCCCAACAGATAACAAAAGAACAATACTAAGCGCAGTCGGGCAGGCCGGGTCAGTAGCAAACGGGCAGGCAAGGTACAAAGGAGCAGGCAGAGTGTAGTCAGATGGGCCGGGTTAGGAACAATCAGGCAGACACGGTACAAAGGAGAAGACTGGAGAGTGGTCAGGAATAGCAGAGGTCAGGACAGGCGGAGTTCAATCAGAGTCAGGGATCAAGCAGGATCAGACAGGAAGCAGACAGGATGCAGGTACAGGGGCTCTTGGGAAACATACACCAAGGCCCAGATCACAGGCCTGGTCATTCCTTATATGCACCTTCTGCAATCAGCCTCAGGTGTTTTGGCTGACTGCAGGAGTGAGCCTCTGCTTGCTGAGAGCACCCGCTGGCCAGTCCTGGTACTGCAACCCACAAGGCAGGTGAGTCCCACCACTATTGGCGAGTCCATTCCCTACACAAGCAGATCTACTGACAGGTCAGAGGGAGACCTACATGGCACCACCTCTCAATCTCCACAGCAGCAACGCTCTGCTTTATCTTCTTGCATTCACAGGCTTGGCTAAAAGCAGAGGGAGCCTTTTGGCCATTGGCTCCCCTTGCTGTCAGTCAAATCCAATGAGGAGGGAGCGGGGGATCAAGCCCACATGAGTGAAACTATAGCAAGCAACTTCCTATGGGGGAACTTGGAGAAGAGAAGGAGCCTAGAGCATCTGCGGGAGCAGGGGCGGACTGACCATTTGGAAACTCGGGCACTGCCCGAGGGCCCGGGGACAGTAGGGAGCCCCATGAGATGCCCTGGCACCTTTTTCATAGGCTTTTTTGAGTTTGGGCAAGGACACAGGGGCCCCATGATCCCCTATTGCCCGGGGGCCCCATAAGTTGTCAGTCCGCCCCTGTGCGGGAGACCCCAGAAAAGGAGGTCCATGGCTATTGCACAGAACAGGCAAGTGTAACATGTCTGTTTATTTTAATTACAATCACTGTAAATGGTCACAGAGAATCCTAGTATATATTCAAAAAGTGCAAATAATAAATCCTTTTAAATGTGGTGCCTGAAACTCTAGTCTGTTGGGGCAACTGTACTATACCTTGGACTAGAAAAAATGAATGAGTTTCAAATAGCTGTATTCACTCTAGATACAGTGATGAAGAATATTTAGGCATAATGCAAATAATAAAAACAGCACCGCATCTTTATGTACAGGAGTAGTATTAGCAACAGATACTACTACTAACAATCATACAATATTTTAACCCATTCCTGCCCAGTCCTGGAATTCCTTTAATGGGGTCTTTACACCCTGTGGGTGGGAAGGACCGGCCAGTCACGTGACCCTGTTATTGGCTGCCATGGTGGTCACATGACCAGATCCTGATTATTATTAGAGACTGAGAGTTTGCAGTGAGGGCAATCTCCACACAGGAACCTCTGCCACCCTTAGACAAATATAAAAGCATTAAAGCCCACCGTATTTGAAAACACACAAATGTGTTATGTGGGTGGCAACGAGGCTGACTTTACAGCATAAATTGCATGAACTGTTGTAGATAAATTGGCAATAGATCTTGTCTGGGGGATGAAGATTTGAGATTTATCTGTTTTTTCACACAATGTTTAATTAAACCACTTGGACATGATTTTCATAGTGAAAATGTGCATTTATTCAGTGGCCAAAGTAATGTTGTGACTTACACATAAGCCTTTCACCCTTACCTGGTTTTTATTACTAGCAAACTAAATGTGTGATTGTAGTTCTCTAAGAGTATTTGACCACAACATTTGTTTTATTGTTTTTGCCTCCTTTTTTTCCAGTGCAAATCAAACCACAGTGGCACACAATGGGGATATATGTGGCTTTATATGGACAGGTCGAAATCCCATAATGTAATTTCTCACTTAATACATCAATGATGAATGGCATCACCGTAACAACAAGATTTTTTTTGTCTGCTCTGGAAAAATTACAATCGCAATCTGACTGGTTGTTCTAACAATTCAGACACATTAAAATACTGTTCAGGCGATTGTTATTGTAATTACATGCATTGTAATTTTGACTTAAGGGCACATAAAAACAACCAACACATCTGTTGAGTGTATTGGAATTGTGATCTGTCACAGACAACATTTGCAGCTACATGTAAAGGCAGGATTTCGCTTGTTGTATGTCTTTCACTTCTGATATAGACCCAGAGTGGCTCAGTTGCTGTACATGAAACTTAAAGTGGTTCTAAAGGCAAAAAATGTTTTATACCTTAACGCATTCTATGCTTTAAGGCAAAAACCTTCTGGGTGCAGCTGTCCCCTCCAACCCCCACCCCCCCCCCTTGTACTTACCTGAACCCCATCTCAATCCAGCAATGTGCATAAGAGCATTGACTCTCCTGGGTCTCTCTCTTCTCATTGGCTCACATAGCAGCTGGAGCCATTGGCTTCTGCTGCTTCTACTCACAGCCAGTGAACCAATGAGGAGAGGGGAGTGCGGCCTAGTCATGCACTGTGTGTGAATGAACAATGTCCATTCACAGGAGCACAGCTCGGGAGCAAGCCTGTTTGAGTACCCCCATTGCAAGAGGCTTGCTAATGGGGGCACTAATCAGGGAGGAGGAGCCATGACTGCTGGCAGGGGGCCCAAAAAGAAGAGAATCAGGGCTGCTCTGTGCAAAACCATTGCACAGAGCAGGTAAGTATAACATTTTTGTTATTAAAACAATTACAACCTTTAGAATCACTTTAATGTTGTCTCTCAATAATGTTTGTATGAGCGTTGTTGCCAGTATGATTTGCCAAGACAGTAAAGTGATGAGTATTTCAATGTTGCTGAAAAGGACTCTGTCACTAAAGTTCAAATAAAAAGTTTATCTGCATAGAAGCAAGTAATTACCTTCCCAACTACAATGGCCACTGAACATAATTCTGATGAAAAAAAAATCACCCCTTAAGTCTATGCAGAAGCTAACACTTCTGGAAGTCTATGTCCTTCAGTTGTGCTTTGCGGTTCCTTCTGCAGACCCCTATATCTTACCACTGTGTCCTATTATACTATTTTTTCAAAAGTAAATACCTTTATATGATTGGTGTTAAAGAGGGTGGAGATTGAAAGGACATTTTTTATGTGCAGCATTAGATAGCATAGTTTTAGCCTAAATAGTAAAACAAACTATTACAGGTGACACTCTTTTCTCACTCCTGTACAAGTCCCATACAACAATATTAAATGCAAGTGTTATCACATCTTCTGGATAATCCCCCTGCCCTGTGTGTATATACAATTGCAGGCATACCAGATTGAAACATTGGGCTTAAGAGAGTGAAACAAATCTTCAATAATATCTACTGAGGGCCACCCCTATGTGATTCTAGAATAAAATTATAACATTTTGCTACTTACCTTTATAATTACATTTGCAACTTGCAGTACTTTTTCTCACTCATAGTCATGGTGACAATAGTCAGCAGGATAAATGCACCACTCTATTGAAGACACAGAAAGCAATATAAACTTTATAGGGATTCCAACCCCTCACTACTATATAAAAAACAAAAAAAGTTTTAGTTCTTAATACTCTTACAATTGGCAGAAGGACAGAAAGGAAAAGGGCCACATTTAATATTGATTGGACCCTGGGCAAACATCTTCTTGGGCCCCCCCATGTAATTTTTTCTCTCCACTTGCAATTGCAGGCACAACTTTCAAGCATGCCCCATTTTACCTCCACAGTGGGCAGCATTTAGCAGAGGTGATGGTGGCTGGAACCTCAGAGGGGTATAATATACATATGAATGCCACTGACATTTACATATGAATGCCCCCTGATATGTACATATCAATGCCACTGGCCGGCCTCTATTTAGATGTGAATAATGACATGGTCTACATGTGAGTCATGGCAAAATGGCAGAGCTGGGCAGCATAAGTGACAGCACTTCACACTGAGATATTGGAGCACAGTGCAAGAAGAAGACTTCAAGGGACAAGGGAATGTAAACTGGGACAATTGGAAAGTATGGGACAACTGCTTTGGGCCACACAACAATGACTGGGCCCAGGGCAACTGCCCCTTTTTCCCCTCCTTAAAGATTGCCCTGGAAAGGACACATGCAGATCAAAAAATACCAGTTGAACTTGCCTTTTCTAAAAGTTTACCATTGCTACAGTAAAGTCCCTATACTTTGTGCATACAGCTGTGTACAATACCACACCGTGTACTTTGCTTTAAGGAGTTTATAAAAGTCACATGTACCTTGTGACAATCTATTTTTGATCATTTAATTTTTTTTGGTATTTTAAAAACCAACAGCATTGCTCTCGGGGGTTTGCTTTAGTTTTAAAACATTTTCCTTATAAACAATAACATCCTTCTCATCACTTCCACCATCATTCCTGATGCTGATTGAAAGAAGTGCTTCATTTTAAAATACCAATGAAGTGACATCCATTCATGAGCCATCTGTTTTTGGATAAACTAAACAGAGAATAACCTAAATAAGCAAACTGAGAGTGAATGTTGTGTTGATGTATCATTTACAGCAAAAAAAATACATTGTGACTTTCAACTGCATCAATACCTGTTTTTCCATTTGATAAAAAATATAGAAATGATAATTGTGTGTCTAAGCAGTGACATGAAAATCTACCTTTTGTCTTGAATTACTCATAAAAAATAGCACTGCACTTCCTGTGCCTTGAGCCTTATAGCTGCAAATCTGTACTGTGTGTAGTCTAAGGCAATGCTGCCTCTGAATGCTGGTCTCTCAAGCTTTGTGGTGATGCAGCTATTATGCTGATAACTAGAGATGAGCGAATTATTCAAAAATTCAATTCGGCTGATTCGCCGAATTTGCGGAATAAATTTGATTCGATGCAAATTTATTCGCTGCGAATTTAACTTATTAAAAGGGTTTCTAGGCTTCAGAGAGCCTTTATATTAGTGCAGAACACTGTACCTTTAATTTAAATGCCCTTGGAGTCTGCTGGGGAAGAGAAATAATACTGTCAGTCAGTATGACATGCAGATGAGTGCCGTCGATCTTAGAATCACTGCACACTTCACTCATTTGGGCAGTCACGGGGCACGACGAAGAAGATGAAGAAGAAGATGAAGAAGAAGAAGAAGAAGATGAAGAAGAAGAAGAAGAAGATGAAGAAGAAGAAGAAGAAAGATGAAGAAGAAGATGAAGAAGATGAAGAAGAAGAAGAAGAAGAAGAAGATGAAGAAGAAGAAGAAGAAGATGAAGAAGAAGATGATGAAGAAGATGATGATGAAGAAGATGATGAAGAAGAAGATGATGATGAAGAAGAATGATGATGAAGAAGAAGATGATGAAGAAGAAGAAGATGAAGAAGAAGATGAAGAAGAAGAAGAAGAAGAAGATGAAGAAGAAGAAGATGAAGAAGAAGAAGAAGAAGAAGAAGAAGAAGAAGAAGAAGATGAAGAAAGAAGAAGAAGAAGAAGAAGAAGAAGAAGAAGAAGATGAGGATGAGGAGGAAGAAGAAGAGGATGAGGATGAAGAAGAAGAAGAAGAAGAAGAAGATGAGGATGAAGAAGAAGAAGAAGAAGATGAGGATGAGGAAGAAGAAGAAGAGGATGAGGATGAGATGAAGAAGAAGAAGATGAGGATGAAGAAGAAGAAAGAAGATGAGGATGAAGAAGAAGAAGAAAAAAGAAGATGAGGATGAAGAAGAAGAAGATGATGAAGAAGAAGATGATGAAGAAGAAGAAGATGAAGATGAAGAAGATGAAGAAGAAGAAGAAGAAGAAGAAGATGAAGAAGATGAAGAAGAAGAAGAAGAAGATGAAGAAGAAGAAGAGAAGAAGATGAAGAAGAAGAAGAAGAAGAAGAAGAAGAAGAAGATGAAGAAGAAGAAGAAGAAGAAGAAGAAGAAGAAGAAGAAGATGAGGAAGATGAAGAAGAAGAGGATGAGGATGAAGAAGAAGAAGAAGAAGAAGATGAGGATGAAGAAGAAGAAGAAGATGAGGATGAGGAAAGAAGAAGAAGAGGATGAGGATGAAGAAGAAGAAGAAGATGAGGATGAAGAAGAAGAAGAAGAAGATG